GATAAATACCATCCTTTTGTGGATAGCTTAACAGGCAGACTGCAGGCAAAACAATCTGAGGCGATGGATAGTGACTGTGTATGTCTGTATTCACACTCCTATGCAGAGCCATCAAGACCCAAAATGGGCAGCTTCCTTGTTGAAGTGCGTTGATGCAGTTTTTTGGACAAATCATGAAAATTTATTTCAGCTGATGCTACTCCCTGAGACTTTTAAGGCCAAGAAGAAACAAAAACAACAACCCACTGACACTAACTTCCTGCTTGATGGAGGGCATAAATACTGGTAAGGGCCTCCACACGACAGCTGGTTGAACTAGTTTTGGTTTCCACCTTCCAGGAAAACAGCCAGTCTTGATTCAGTGTGTTCTGCATGATGAAACCCACCGCCTCACTGAATAAAGAGCTCACTTGCACTGACAGTGTGACAGGCAGACTTATACTAAAGAGATGTCACTTATTAATCACCCACTCATTACCTTTGAATTACACAGATTGCCTAACTCCCTATAGATACCAAATTCCTTGTACTACAGAGATGTTGCTGTGCTTAAACAAAACAAAACAAAATAAAACAAAAAAAAAGCTCAAGTCAATTTTAAAAGTTTGCCTAAACTCAGGAGTCCTAGTGAGACATGGGATGCACATATTCACAAAATGGCCCTTTTGACCTCCTGTTCTTACTGAAGATTTCCAGAGCAGGATTTTGGGCCAGGTGTTCAGGCCACAAAAATTTAAGAAAACTGCATTCTGCATTAAGTTCCCCTAAAACAAACAAACAAACAAAAACTCCTTGAGCAGAATACCTATTACACTTGATGCTAGTAGTTACAACTTAATTGAGGTTTAAATGGTTCCTGTGGAGACAGAGGTCATTAGAATCTTGACATCCATCTTTTAAGGACGTTTGCCATTTAAAAGTTAGTTGACTGAATAAATAAAATTCCATCAACTCCTTGTTGCAAAGTACAGTAGTTTACCTCTTTCTTATAGCACTGATTTGGGAAAATGGTTCCAAAATGATGTTTTTAAACCCAGTACTGGAGCATATCTCTGAATATTATCTGAAGACTTACCTGGAAACCAGCACACACTACCCTGCTCTTGTTCTTTCCCAAAATCTCTAAAGCAACTTTAATAATGTACTTTTTTTTTTTTTTTTTTGCTATGAATCACTAACATCTCACCCTGGTTGCTCAGTGATTGAGACTTAAGAGCTTAAGAGCTGTTTTTCACTTTCATGGTCAGAGCAGGCTGAATAACCTCAGAAGGGAGGTCCACCCAGCCTGTTTTCAAGGTCACGTATCTCAGTAACATCTCTCAAGTTACACATGACAAACTGAGACGCAAATTGCTGCCAACCAGCAGCAAGCTGTCAGAAGACATGGATGGATGATGAACCACAGCTCATGGGGAGTACCCAAGGAACAAGCATCATTGTTCCAAATTCTGGCTCTTCTCTGAACATTTTTGGAAGAGTTAAAGATTTTACATTTCATAAACTGAGGGACAGCTTTCTCTATGCAAATACTACTCTAGTAGCAGAAAGCTTTTTCACAAAAGCTTAGAGTGGCTGAGGTTGGAAGAGACCTCTGGAGATCACCTACTCCAAGGAAGGCAATTCCACGGTGTCTTTTTGATTTACCAATAAAAAAGGTCAGAAATGAAGACCTTAATTCAAGACCTTAAGGTCAGAAAATGCAGTAGGACAATATCAGCCACCTCACCGTCTTAGCAGTCCTGCAAAATAGGCAATTATATGCTGATGGTCCTAAATAAGCAATTTGGTTTTAACTCTGCTTAACATTATTTTAGTTTTGCCCCAAACAACGAGCTGCATTGCTGTGCACCGCTACCCTGTGCCGCTCCAGGGCCAAAGGCATTTTGCAGCAGGAACTCCACACGCACCGTCATGGTTCCTGGACCGAAGAACTCTGAAAATCATTTTAAACTGTGTCAAATAGTTAGCTCTGCTACAGTCAAGCTATTTCTTGCTGAAACACCTCGGATGTTAGAAGCACTTGTCTGCGAAGCTCATGCCTTTTGGGCACTCGTTGTTCAGAAAACAATCCTCCTATTTCTCTTGTTGAGCCCCTCTTGCTGCTGACCAAGGATGACCTGTGGCCACCAGCAGGAAGACCCCTCGTGAACACGTGTCAGGTGCAGTGCCACATACTGACTATCTTGTGGCTGCTGTACCCAGTCCCATCACCTTTACGCAGCTGATTAAAACTAGTAAAATACGAAACATGCAAAAATGGAAGCAGAAAGCTAGACAGCAAAGCAGACAACCGGCTCATCTCTTGTCTCTCTTTTTTCCTGCATATCTAACATGAATATCCCAGACCTTCCCCTGTGCTTGTGAAGACAGGCACCCTCTCCTGCGTGTCTCCATGCAGCTCACAGAATCAGGGAGGGCAGCTAATGAATTGCAAAGCAACTGGCACCGCAAAAGAGAAGTGCTTCTCCCCTCCCTCTGCCCTCCAGGTATCTGAGCATGGAGAGGATGACACGAACGGCAGCATTCCTTCTGGGCTTGCCAATACGTAGCTGCGCTGAGGGCAGTTTCCCTAGGGTATGGAGACACTTGGATGCCTTTGCTGCCTGCCTGCAGCTGCCCAGCCTGGACAGCACATCAGAGCTCGCAGCAAACTGGGGGCAACACCAGTTTGCCACAGGGCTGCAAACAGGTTCTGTTGGCCATGCAATTAACTACAGACTTTCTGCTTTTTGTAGGAACAGGCAAGATCACACCTTTGATTCATCCCACGGGGCAGGAAGAGGAAAATTCTGGATTTGTGCTGCTTTGGGTGAACAAAAGGAAACGTCTCCTCCAGCCCAGAAACATCTATTGCCTGGCAGATGAACCGTGACAGTGGCCATCACTATAGAACCAGGAGGGACTTCACTGTGACCACAGCTCATGGTATTTACATAATTTAATCCAGACCCCTTAACTGGAGCTGCAGCATAGGGCTGGAAAGAACAGGCTTTAAGCATAAAGAAACTTGCAACCTCTTTTGACTTTTGAAAATGTTTCCCCCAAAATTCTGATTTGGAGTTTGCCATCATGGACTCTCCTGGGGGTTTTGGTTCCTACACCCCAGGGTGACCCAGAGTAGATGCTGCAGCCCACGTGCTCCATCCCACTCACCACGGGGCATCGTTAATGCTGCAGTGCCAGACACAGCATGGGCCATGGAAACAGCCTGTGAACACCCAAATCACAGAATGGGCCGTATGGCACATAAACCTCCACTCTCTCCAGCTCCACATGGCACAGTTTTTTTTTTTTTCTCGTCAGAAAAAGCACATTCAGAACCTTTTTGCTGGGCGCAGTCAGGCTGCTTGCAATGTGAAGAGGCAGCTTATCAGCACTTGCGATTTCAGTTTCCTCCAGATGCACAGGTACAGATCCCAACCGCTTTCATGTGATGCCAAAGACAGCAATCTCTGATAGCGCCAAGAGTCAGAACTGATAACAGGCAAGTTGAAGCAGTGCCTTTGCAATAATTACTCAGCTGTCAAAAATAGGCAAACTGGCAGCACTCAAAATGCAATGTTTGCCATCGTTTGAGAGAGCAAAGAGGGCCTCCTGCCATAGCCCAGTGGCCACTGGAGCTTCAGGGGGCCAAGGAAGTCATCTTACTCAGACCCCGGGCATGAGGATGTGTCCGAGAGCAGCTACTCCCAAGCCTGCTTTCACCACAAATATTGACACATCCAGCGATAGCACTAATACAGAGCCCTTCACTGCATACGTTAAAGTACATTCAAAAGTTGTGAAAAAGATGTCTAGTACAAATTCCTGGCTAAGCCCATGAGAGGTCTTGATTCAGCACAGCATCTAGGATAGTGGGGGCCTTTTAGTCTGCAGGTGCCAAAGGGAACTCATGAGTAAGCTAAAAAGGCAAAACTACCAATATGAAGAGACAGGATCTCCTCCTTTCCTTGCAAAATCAGGCCTCTAGCACGTGTATGATAAATGACACATGGAAGATGCTTACGTAGGTTTAACAGTGACCTTGAAAGGATGCTGGGCATCTTCTCAACTGTCTCTGGTCGTGAAGTTCTGGCCCTCACATCCTCAAGCCTTTTGTATTGTCCTTTTTCCTGCTTGTCCAGCAGACAGAGATCTCATGTCTAAAATACAGCTGTTTTGCTGATGTGTACAGTTGGGACGGGAGATCTCATGCACACAAGATCACTGGTGCTAGCACTGTCCTGTTACCACTCAAAGGCCCACATCGATAATTTAGACAGGATTTCACAGAGGGAGTCTAGCTGACCCAGGAATTTTTAATGGCTGCAAAATTCAAACCGAGAGGAGCTAGAGAAAAATGTCCCCTATGAAGCTGCAGATCTATAGAGATGTTACGGGTACATAAATCACAAGTAATAGCTTGTCATCATGGAGTTTCCTAATATTTTATTGTCACATACATATTTATTATAGTATAAGACCAGAATATGGTTGTCCAAACTGCCCTGTTTATACTTCGTAAGGAAGAATTTTGCTATCCTTCTTTCTGTGTTACTAAAACTAGTTTGCAGTACAGCACAAGACATCAGTCTTCATATCTAACATTTAGATTATAAGTCTGTTGAAAGTAGAACACGTAGAGGGAACCTAACATTTGTGCAGATTTAGTCACACGTCTTGATACTTGCTTGAAATTATTCCCTTTCTCCCCACCTTGTAATTAAGCCACCTCAATATTTGTGGTTTGTTTTTAAACACACAGAAGTAAAATAATGAATTTGATAACCTTACCTAAATGCTACAAGCTAAACCAGAGTATTAAATACCTAACAGGAATTCAGAAGGGCATGATGGGGAGAGCACAGAAGAGAGAATACAACTTTGTTATATGTTTATGAAGATACGACAAAGCAAAAAGCTATAATAATATAATACCAGAGTGAGATATTTTGATGATCTTAAAATAAACTCCAAGCAAATAAATCCTGAGAAAATGAGAAAGGGAAGTTTATGCTCACCTGAACATGATCTGTCCAATTCTCCTGAGTCATGCTTTTCTGAAAAGACAAAATTACTTCTGAAACATCTTAGAAAAGGGAATTACAACAAGTTGAAATTTAACACAGCATCTTACACCTTGGCATCAACTGTGATTGAGGAATGTGCTCTGGAATGCAGGGAAAACTTTGGCTTCTCATATATCACCATGGTAGAAAAACACAGCTTATATGAATTAAATCAGACAAATGTTGGAATACAGAACATAAGTCAAAAGGTCCATCTGCAATTCAAGCATACAGGCAACATAGATCTGTATCCGGGAGTACTTGAACACTCATTATTTTCTGAAGCTAGGTCATGAACTCCTTCACAAAACACAAAAATAAATAAAATATATATAAAAATTCTTTAACAAAGCTCTGCAAAGTCCCTCATAAATTCTCAACATCTCAATGCCACGTTGTGCTCTTGCAGCAACAGCAACTTTACTCTGCAAAGCTGAAACAGGTCCTACTCCAGGGGCACACATGAATCATTAATGCAGCCTTTACCTCAGGATTTGCAGCATGTCCTTAGGCTGTTCAACTCGACAGCTAGCCCATGGAGACGGGCGTCTCCATAGATTCCAGTAAAGGAAGTGACACCAGGGATTACTGTGAGCAGTTCTGGACTCCCCAGGACAAGAGGGACATGGAGTTTCTCGAGAGGGTCCAATGTAGAGCAACAAAGATGATTAAGGGACTCAAATTTGGATCTTGTGAGGAAAGATTAAGCGAGCTGGGCCTGTTTAGCCTGGAGAAGACTGAGAGAGAGCTGATCAATGTGTACAAGTACCTGAGGGGAGAATGTGAAGAGGATGGGGCCAAACTCTTCTTGGTGGTGACCAGTGACAGGACAAGGGGTAATGGGTACAAACTGAAACCCAGGCAGTTCCATCTCCATGTGAGGAAGAACTTCTTCCCTGTGAGGGTGCCAGAGCCCTGGCACAGGCTGCCCAGAGAGGCTGTGGAGGCTCCTTCTCTGGAGATCTTCAAAACCCGCCTGGATGCCACCCTGTGCCCCTGCTCTGGGTGTCCCTGCTGGAGCAGGGGGGTTGGACTAGGTGATCTCTAGAGGTCCCTTCCAACCTCAACCATTCTGTGCTTCTGTACACCATTCTGTGTATTATTTGCAAGGCCAAACCTTTAGAATATACTAAGCTAAAATTTTCTTAACAGCCAAGTCATGAAAAAAATCCTCTAGAATCATAAGGTCTGGAAAAGGAAACTGTTAAGTTAATATCCTCAGTCAAATGTAGTTCAGAGCCAACCTTGGGGAGCACCCTGGGATGGGACCTTCCCTAGACTGCCAAGAAGGCAGGCTGTGTAAGATTGATCAGTCATAAACCCCCGAGCCTCACCCCGCTTCTGGCAGAGAATGACTGCTAGCACCACTTGGATGGAAAGGTACACCAGCAAGAAGGCAGTAAGAAGCTCAAGGGAAACATCTCGGAGATATAGAGACATACAATTTAAACACTACCAAGATAAAGAACTCGTTTAGGCAACCTCATACACAGCTGAGAATGGTAAAAGCAGAACACCAAGGACCTCTCAGAAACAGTGGCGGTGTCCAGAAACAGCTGCCAAATGTACCTTAACAGAAGTAACCGGCCAACTCAGATACTTAAAGCAAAACACAAATTCCAAAACAAAGAAAATGGAGAGTGGAACATCAGATGGAGAGTACAGTTCACTTTGCTAAATAAATACATCTAGAGCTTTTTTTTTTTATCTTCTCTCACTGTCCCAGATCAAGGCCTCTAGAGTGATGTCTTAAAATATTGAAGCATTGAGACAGTGAAACATTTGCTAACCTTTCAGTTTCATGTCAGTTCATCTGGTAAGAAGGAAAAACAAATCAGATCCTTCCCTGATTGATTAGGTGGCCTTGGAAAGAGAACTGTCTGCGCCAGGATGGTGCCAGAGTCACCACGTTCAACAGCATCTTATTGTTCAAGTTCTCTGGGGAAGGGAGGATCAGGAAATTTGCATCTACCTTCTTCTATCAGCAGAACATGAGATTAGTCCCTTGCTGAATAAAAGACAAGGCACTTTTGGAAGAGGCATTTAATTTCCTGAAAACTGACTCTCTAAAGACTGGATTGGTGTTTCTGTATCCAGGGAGATCTGAACAACCTGGTAGGGTTATGAAAGCTTTTCTAGAGGATCCTCTTGTATCTACATGAAGAGTCTTCTATGAACTGCACATGAACCAGCACTTCAAGGCCATGTTCAGCAAATAGGGCTTTATAATTCAACTTTCAATAGATGAAAGCATTTCTCTATGACATCTAGACTCTTGCGGTCCCTCTTTTTCACAGCCCAAATGATTCATCTGGATACAACACTTCAAAGCTGCTGTAATCAAAAGAAGAGGCAGAGCAAGAGTTGGGACAATCTGCCTCCAGTCACTGGATGATGATGGTGATGCCAGCGAAAGACGCTCAAGAGCGCCCCACTCCTAAGAGGGGAGGTGGGAGCACAGGTAGCTATCTTGTGAAGTAATGCTGCAGAAAAAGTATTCGCACTATCTTCTCACTTTCAAGATCTGTCATTTCCAGAAGGATTTGGAAAGTGAGGACTTGGAGGCTAGACACAAGCAAAGTTAGCTCAGAGGAGAGTGGTTCAAGAACTGAAAATATTATTAGTTTCCTCAGCGGTGACAAGGCTGTAACCTCAACACAGAAAAGCTTTTGTGGCAGACTTGGGGCTATAACCATCAACATCAAAATATTATAGGACCTTCTGGCTTTGGGTTGATTCATTGATTCTTGCTTTATATTGGGCTATTTTTAAGGCAGAGTCTTAAGTCTTGACTTGTGTGAAATCTGTTGAGCTCGACAAAGGAGCTGGAGGATAACACACACCAAGGTTCTGCTTTGTCGTGCAGCATAGATAAGGGCTAGAAGAAGATAAAAATGACTGTACTAGGATGGGAGGAAGAAATCTGGTGGATTCCTCTTCAGGCAAGCTTCTATGGCCTCTGAAGGACATGTCAAAGACTGTTATAGGGTTAAGGTTGGAAATGACTGATCTCCTTTTGCATGATGGTTGCTCTGGTATTACTGAATTCCTAAGTCTAACACAGATCACATCATGCTTAGCATTAGGAAAGCCCTGGAGTGAGTTTTCTTTGGGCATGTGAGTTTTACTGCATGACCTACTAATCCAGGTCCACCAGAAGAACACAAGTCTGACAGCAGAACAGCATGGAGGGATGTAAACACCACCAGCAGGTACTTTCAGCACCAAGTGCTAAGAAGAAAATAGCCCCTTGCACTAACAGCCTGCCTGGCCAGACGACATGCTGAAAAGACAACCAGGCCACATATACCAAAGTGAAAGCACAGCGCTGTGCTGCGCTAAAGAACTGGGGTTACAGGTTACGACTAAAACCAGAGCACGAGAGAGATTTAAAAGTAAAACAAAAAAGTGCTCTTCTCTACTCAGTATTGGAGGGATGCCAGGAAAATAATGCACCTGGATTAGCTGAGATGGCTGAAACTGAGTATATGAGAGCACATCCCAACCCAGCTAAGGCCCTAGCATAAATAATGCCTCAGACCACTCCAGAAGATGCTGAGGTCAAAAAGCATCCAGCTTGGAGTAATCGTGACTCCCAATTCTTACAATACGAATGGATACACAGACTGTCACTCTCAGAAAGAACAGATCTTATGGCAGATCCAATGCATTTTTATATTGCTTACATACTGTTGATATATTTTTATCATGTCAATTATATTATTCAAATAAAAAACCCTAATTTGCACCCATGTTACCTGCTGTAACGTACCTCAACAAACCTCTTGTAGAAGAGATAATTCAGAGTTCTCAAGTGCCGTTGATTTATAACATTAGGGCAGAGAGCTAAAAGAAGGTAAAAAAGACATTTAAGTATTCAACATTTAAGTATGGCTGAACTTTCTTGAAGTTTTACTGTCTAGACAAGTTGGTTTTCCTTCCCCAATTTCAAAGTCAACGAGTGGAAAGCACCATGCCATCGACTCAGAACAACGCAGGACAGTCACGTTCTTATTTTATCTAAATTATAACTGCTATTTACAGTTTAAACAATGATTAGCAATGCTAATCCTACTGATATCTCTGGTTCTACCACCCTGAACGATAAGATCCACTTGCCAGTTCAATATGTTTTCACATTTAATGACTTCACACCTTTAATTATGCCACAGCCCCATACGGGTACCGCTTCCAGTTTCCAAGGGCTGCATTCATTTTAATTTAAATGGAACTTGTCCTGTTAATTCATTAAAGAAGTTTTGAACACATTACTCAAGATTCAAACCTGTCCCAGCATTGTAGCTGAATTTTATCCGATAAAGTACTATGAACGCATGAAAGAGACTCCTTATCCATCCATGGAGGGAAGTGGCTATCATTTTGCTGAGGTAGCAAGCAGCAGTTCTTATTATTTGTGTTACTGACACCTTCTTTTGAGATGCCTCATTACAATGGCAGAAAACAAGATCTTCACATAGCACCTTGTTTTGAAACCCAGTGCAATCAGAGATAAATGTGGAAGATAAATTACATGAAGATTAGCATACATACGTATCAGTTCTTCTCTGATGCTGCTATGGATGTAAGGGAAAGATGTGACCAAACATTTCCTTGGGGTTTAAGTGGCTGAAACCATCAATCAGGCAGCTATAAAGAGCAGGGCCAGCAACAAGAACCACAGTGACTGAACACAGGAAAGTGAAACTTTTCCACAACTTTACCCTGAATTTTTATTACCCAATTGAAATTAGCACTACTGATTCAGAGCATAACTCTCATGCATGGCATGCCTAGAAGACTAACAACTGAGAGGAGGAAAAGCTCCCAAGACCTGGAAAATGGAATGAGAAAGGCCACAAATTAATGTAGTGCTTTTTAGCACAGATTTTGGCAGATCACTTTCTAATCTGAACATTCCTGTCCCAAGAAGTGATTTAAGTTATCCTCCATACTCTGACAGTATGACAGTACCCATATAGGGTACGCTTTTATTGACTTCACACTCAAAAAGGAAATACACGAAAAGCAGCAACTGGGTCAAACACAAAGCAACAGCACAATCATATAAAGACAAAGTCACAAAGTCCAAAGTAAAATACAGGATGCATTATCAAAGACCATTTAGGCTGGCAAAAAAAAATATTTCTAAAATATACTAGTAGGAAAACAAAATAAAGGAACAGCGGGGAAAGCATTTACCAACCACTCATTATAAAAGAAAAGTTAATGAATGAGGATACCAAGAATATAAAGCATTATGGTATTTGTTTTTCTTCCCTCTTCATTAGAAAAAGGCTAGAGGCACTAACTAAATAACAACAAAGGGATTAAGTCTGAGGCTGGAGTAAAAAAAGACGAGGTTAGCATGTAGATAGATTACATGAAGCATTCATGAAGTCAACCTGTGATTGCTTAAGTGCTCTCTTTGATAAGGTGTGAAGCATGGATGAGAAAGCTGGGAAAAGTGCAAATTCATCACCTATTTAAAGAAGAAAAAAGATTTTCTGGAAACGTATTGCAGCAAATAAATTAACACCTAGAAAATAACAGAGACACAGGCAACAGCCAACCTGCATTGTCCAAAAAAATTCACATTGTGTCAAACCAATAACCTTCTACGACTCAATTACCAGCCTACTGAATATCGACGAGGCAGTAGTTGTTTCCTATCTGGATTACACTAAGGTTTTCTATACTGTCAAACACAATGTTTTGACATTTCAAGACCACGCTAGATAAAATCCTGAGCAACCTGGTCTGACCTCAGAGATGCTCCTGCTTTGAGCAGGAGGTTGGACTAGAGCCCTGCCACCCATTCCAACCTGAGCTCCCCCAGGAGCCTGCACACATGCTCATCAAGACGCTGCTTGCTGGAGCTCCCAGGCGCACACAGCTCCTGAGCTGCGATGGAGACCTCCCGCACAACGTGCTCGGTGCCACCACCGCCCACAGCTAAGCAGAAGGCATGGGAAAAGAGCAGAAACCCAGACCGGCCAGAGATCCCTGAGCTGCCTGTTAGCCTTGCTGTCTGGAGCTGACCTCCTAAGGAAAAAGGACAAAGCCTGGCACAAGGGGTTACATCTATATCTAAAGGAAAAACCAGCACTATAATATGGAGTTCCATACATGTCTGGATATGGTGAATTCACACTCAGACCTACAAGAGCAGCACAAGCTTTTCTGATGGAAACCTTGGAGACGCTGTCTGAGTTGTCTTGGTCTAGAGCAGATCATCTACTAGCTGTACTTCAGTAGCCAAAAATGTAGCTGAACAGGCAAGGATCAAGGGCCCTGGCACGTTGAAGTCCTTTCTCCCTGAGCAGCCGCTGAATTGAATTTTGTAACTCTAAGAGGGGAAGGCTCCTCTCTTCTGAGAGCATAGATGTTCTCCACACATACAGAGTTACATAAAAACGTGCTGGTATTTGACAAAAAAGGTGCTATAAGAAATCTGCAGGAAAATCGCCATGGAAGTAGGGGCAAAGAAAAGCCCTGTAATGCAATCTTCAAGGACAGGAATAATTTTCTACTATTTTAAAAGGAAAAGGAAAGCAAATTAAACAGCCTTCGTTCAAAGGTATTCCTGTGGGGATAACAGTCATTCGTTTTCTTCCCAAATAGCATCTTTCCAAAATGCTGTTTGCAGCAAAGCCCCCGTGGCCCCACTGGAGCTCTCCCTGGTGACCGTCCCGCGAGGCCCCGGACCTGCTGCGTCTCGAGGATGCCGTGACCTACCTGAGCGGCGCGCGGACCGCGAGCAGCCCTCGCCTGCCCTCTGCTGCCTCCGCCAGCGCAGGCACGAGGCTCGGGCGCGCAGCCGAATTCTGGGGCTCCCTCCGAGGCTTGCAGGAAATTTCAATTGCGAATGAAACCAAAAGGATAACCCGGGAGCAAAACCGAGAGGAAAGTGTCTCTTGGTTTATGCTAAAGAACTTTTTAAAGGCTAAGGTAAAACAGCATTCTTTGCATTCAGGATGCAGGGCACTCTGCTAATTTGTTCTGCTTCTATGGGACAACAACTCCACAGGTCTTTCGACCACAAAGTCAATTACCATTTCCAGCCACACCACTAATACCTGCTTTACTGGCCTACAAACTAAGGTCCAATATGTAAAGCCCCTCATATAGGGTCTTCAAAGCGTATTAAGTAATTAGGTTGTAACAGCTACAAGGCTTGTTAAACCGCAGCATAGTGACCCATGTGTGAGAAATTACTCTGTAAAACTGGATTTCTTCAAGCACGGGCCATTTCTGCTCATCTTCTTCCTTCCCCGGAAAAGCTAATTAAATGGGATGCACACACAGGGTTTAAGGGGCTGCCTCTGGGAATCAGCAGACAACCATCCACGTGTGGCTTTTGTGTTAACAGGCGGCTGGGTCTGGAATTGCAAGAATCGAGTCACCTACGAGCCTGCCTTCTCATACCACGAAACCCCTCTAGCCTTTCTCACTGAAAGCCACTTCCCGTTTGTGCTGCTGCTCTCAGGCTCCGGCGACAAGGAGGAGTCACGACTGAGGAGGCAGAAAGAGCCGCAGACTGCGGCATCCAGCAAGGCCACAATTAGGTTAGGTAACAAGAAGCGAGTGCTACCTCACGGCTGGTTTTTGGTGGAGCTGCTCAGAGCAAGAGAAGGGAGTTTATTAAACCTGCAGGTTTTACTTAACCTGCTTCCTTTGGTATGCCCTTTTCTCACAGTCAGGTTTGCTTCCACTAAAGAAGGGAGAGGGAGCATCTAGAAAGAGAAGAAAGAAAAAAGGAAAGGAGGAGGAAAGGAAAGCCATGTTATTCCAGCTGCCACCTTTTCCCAGTTCAACCCAAGCAGACCTGGCATGAAGGCCAACCTGTCTCTATACGTTTTCATCCTCTTCTTCTTCCAGAGAGCTTCAAAGCAGACTGAGAGGCCCAACAATTTAGCAGATTTAAGAAGTCCTGCTCTGACTTTCATGTGATACAACTCCTAAGTAATATCACTTCTCATCTAAGAGAGAATGTGTGAGATTCATCCAACCTTGGTTTAGCCACCTCAGGTCTGGCATCTCATCTCAATTAGCAGCCCACACTTCCTCTCACATCAGTAGAGGGGGACAGACACATCTAGCAGGTGACCAGCCCTACACTGTGGACACTACACTTGGTGTGGGATAAATTACTCCCTGGAAGTGTAGGTGGGAAGGTGGCCTGGAGGGAAGGCACATCTCAAGGAACCCTCTCATCAGTGAGCCTGCTGTGGAAGTTCAGGGAGAGTTTGCCATTATCATCAGCTGCTCCACCAGCTGGGACACCAGCAGCTAAGGCCCACCACACTCCGCCACAAGCACCTGAGATCACCTGGCACATCCCCTCTTCCTCTTCATCTTCTTGGTGGATCTCTCATGCAGGGGAGGAGCAATTCTCTTAATAGAGCATAAAGGAAAACAGTCTACTGAATCATCAATGTTATAAAACATAAAAAATTACTGAAGAAAGAAGTAAACTACTGGACAGGTTTAAGATCTGGAAAAAAAATCCCCTCTTGTGTCTCAGCTTTCACATCAATGTGTTTTGTTTAATTATATTTAGATATCCTCCAAGGAAGGTTTGTAATGATTATCGTATTAGCTTTTGAAGAGCCGTCTGAAGATGTGAAGATTAATATAACATTGCTGCCAGGCGTAATGAGACTCAATTTGTGGTTAGAAAACACTTTTCTGCCCAAGAAAAGAGAACTACATATCTTGTGTTGATCACAGAAGTAACGTAAAACCTAATGGTGCATGTAAAGGTTTTGACATACAGCCCTAAACAGAAGAATAAAGATCAACAGCCGCCATTAAAAACAAAAGCAAAGCAGATTTGGTCAAACAAGTGGCAGTGAAGCAGATATATTCAATGATGTAAGATGGGTTACTTTCCCCAGAAGGCTGCAAGAACCTTAAAATTCCATCGCCAACCTTGTTTTACAGAAAGGATAAATAGGGCTGTGAGGCTCCGGCTTCCCAAGGGTTATCTCTTCTAAACTGACAGACTCATAATTCAAGAAAACAGATCCTTAGATGAGTAATGACTTGCCTCTTATGTGAGTGCAATGGAGTCATAGCTCAAAGTTGACCACCATGTGTTTATGTACAGCCATTCTGAGGCCAAGATTTATTTCACATCATGGAAGAAGCAGTCTATTAGTCACAAGCACTTCATTCTTCGACAGTACAAAGTGATAATTCCTGTAACTTACCAGCTTTGTTTTTTAAACACCATTAATTAAACCCTGAAACTCCCCATGATAAATTACAGCACAGATTCCTTGCTGAACATGGAAGAAGACAAATTGACTTCATCTGTTCTTTATTGGAGAGGTAACTCAAGCATATGTTGCAATACCACATACCTGGATCTAAGTTAAATTGTTCTAGAAGCCTGAAGACCAGCTTGCTTAGCATTTTGTGGTTAAATTTATCTGGTTTGCATTTGGACAGGCCTTGATATTGTCTGTAAGCAAACAAACAAAATCATTAAAAGAAAATCTGTGGAAACAACTAAGAAATGCCTCCTAAAGAGCAGATATTTAACAGAGGAGATGTTGGGTTTGGAAGGTGCTGGTACAAACTGTCCTCTATCTTTTCTTAAGTTTCAGCAAAAAGTCTACCGTACAATCATACCAGTTCTCCAGCCAACGACAGGTAAGTCTACTTTAAAAAAGGAGAAAGCCATCACGCACTTTCCCGTGTTCTTCTTTCAGGACAAATACAGCGAGCAGGACTGTTAGCTTTGTGACTGACAGGAGCTATTCTAGAGAAAGGCAATTTATAAATTAAAATACACACGACTTTCACGAGAACATGAAGGTTAACCACTTGCATCTCTTGTTTTTCTGCCACTTCATCACAGCATTATCTTCCTGACAAACCTGTACAACCGATACTGAAACTTAACCTTGTCTGCAGCAAAGCACAGGAGTGAGTTTATTACAATTTCCTATAAGGAGCTTTGGTAGTGTTAAGTTACTAGAATCTACTGCAGAGCTTCCATTTTGCACTTCTCCTGTGCAGAGCTTAACATCTGTCAATAGGAATGATATCTCATTCCTCATCAGGAGGTATCTCCTGTTATCTCAAAAGGAGGAGGCATTTGAAAAGTGTTTGCCACAGACAGCAGAATTTCCCCTTTCTCAGCTGAACAGAACATATATTGCACACCATGATGTGGAGAAAACCATCTTGGGCATTGAAAGAAAACACTGTCATCTGCCAGTGCACTGGTGCCAGCTGCTTAGAAATTAAACAAACATTTCCACCTTGAGATGTCTTTGATGTTAAAACCGGGTGCACACCACGTGTCCAGGATCTGCACGAGCTTGCACTGGAGCTCAGGATGGTCTCCCACATAAGCTTCCACCAAGTTAGTTTTATCTTGCAGCAGTAGTGGTGTACACATCTAGAAAAAGAAACAGCTGCTAGTACAGAGAACATCAGAGGCACCGTGCTCTGCCCTTGAACATGGCCTTCCCGTGTTCAGTCTGTGTGCTGTGAGCACGCAGCAGCCACGGAGGAGGTTACGTGCAGGGACCAAAACCTGGTGGAGGGTTCTCACATTTCCTAATAAGGACAGCAAGTGACAAAGGCCTTGCTTCACCAACCAGTGCTGTTTAGGAGAGAGACGTGGCATTTTCAACATGAGTATTAATCAAAATAGCGAAAGTGTTAACTTCAGAGTTTAGTTAATCAAGGTGTAATTAAAATTACATTTTACCACCTCTCAATAAATGGGATAATCTAAGTCACTTCTCTTTACTCACTGTCCTGAATGCAGATGACAAGCAATATCTACGGACCAGTTCTACATCAAATGAATGTTATCACAGGAATAATTATTTGTCAAGAACAGTCCCAAAACCAGGACTTTTCATCACTGTGCCTGCATCTAGAAAAGCAATCCGATAAATGCAATGAGGTTGGACAAAATACATTTTAACACTTCCCTAGACGCAATGTTGCACCAGCACTGCTGTAGCGACTTCTCAGGAACCAGATAAAGCCCTGTATGAAACATCACAACTTAAAGGGCCATGATAGATCTCCTGCTTAACACAAGATGGATCTGATGACAGAGAAGGCTGTGGAAGAAATGACTCACCTTCTCCACATCTTGATCTGGTTGCAATTTTAGCTTTATACTCAGTATCGCTGCCTACAAAACACAAGAGAGATGCGCATTTAGGAAAAGACCATCGCAATGGCTAAAGGGCATTATACCAAGGGAAGTATATATGTGATTATGAAATTTTTTAACATGGTGATTATTTCTGTTACATGTTAAAGCACAAATCACATAAATATCTGGCCACATATACCCCATTTAGAAAACTACAAACCCACTCCTTCCTGTATTACATATTCCAAGCAGCAGCAGATCTTGGGGCAAAAAAAAAATAAAGATCAGCTTGCCTGGCACAAAGAGAGAAAGTGAAATGCTTGAACAAACCTGCTAGGAAAGGATTTTCTCCAGTAGCATAACTAAAACAAACTTGACCTGTCTGAATGAACTTGAACACGCACACAAAATAATTAGGATTTTAAAGGCATAACAGTATCTGTAATTCCTGCAATGTGTAAGATTGTTTGGGTCTCAAGTATAAAATAAAAATAAGCGTATGATAGCTTTCTTTAATATAACATATTGTTCTGGTTAATGGATTAATACGAGCAAGAAATCTTTTAGTGCATTTATGCATTAGCATTCACAGAATTGTAAACTAGAGAACAAGGATGATTTACTCTGAACCTTTCTAATGGTTGTGGAAGGTTAGGTATATTCTCCATGATGATTGTAAACTGAGTGTTTGATAGCACTGGATCTGCAGCACACGCGTAATGCCACGCAGAATATAATCAATGGTGTTCACAAATGCCTGCTGATTCAACACGCCTGGGCTTCACGGAAAAGCTCTTCTCTTTGACCAGTTTCTCTGATAAGCGCGATTCATTTTGCCTCGAGAAAAGGTATGATGTATTTGTTTCTTAAAACAGTTACCTTTCAGAACTGTGTTACTTTTTAGAACACATAAATAAATGTAATATAGCAAAGGGTACCCTAAAGCAAAGCAACTATAAACCCCCATGTTGTGCATCGCATGTCTGAAATCCTTATAATAATGATAAAAAAAGGAACAGGAAAAATAACTTAGGTTGGGGTAGGAGCACACCTTGAAATACCTTTTCTGTGGTTCCCTTCAGAGTGAACAAATGACACCCCAGCGTATACCGTCACGGGAAGCCCGTATTCTGCAGATGCACTGAAGGGAACCAGATGCAGCTGGAGCACACCCGCAACATTGAACAACTCATCCTATCACCACCCACACCGGCAGCACCAGAGGCCGGGGATTTTATTACCTTCTAGGAAATCCATGTGCATATTTCATCCACTGCCCCAAAGGCGGAGTGTGCACAAGCAATAGCCAACAAATGCTCTGTAAGACGATTGCAACCAGAGAGAACACAAATACCCAGTTATCAGGGGGGGGTTATGATTATTATTATTTTTTTTTAAGCAAATTGCATTCTCTATCAGTCCTTACCTCAAAGTGATGTCAATAAAACAACTTTAAGAGACAAACCCAGCAACTAACGTTAATTATATTGACCGTATACTCCAAATCCGATACAGAACAGAAAGGCGTTTTATAGTCTCTCAGACCAGCTACCACCACAAGGGCTTCTCACTCCAGACGTGATAACTATTCTATCTGTTTATATGCTAATACACTACTCTGCTCCACAAGAGGCAACTACCTTTTCTTTCAAATTATCTGATTAGCATAATAAAGTTCAAGTTCAGTAATTATTCTGACTTGTATACAAGCTGAAGGTTGCTGCTTCTATTTTTGACCTGAAGAAAGGCTTTGTGCCTCCAAAAGCTTGACAGCTTGGTTTTTTTTTCCTCCCAGCTATCTCAGTTTGCCAAATAACAAGAGCCTAGCACCTCTCAAAATCTTGTTTCACCATTTGACCTCATTAGTGCTTTGCATTAAACAAGTAATTTGTAAGTTTTAACATGCAAGCGTACAACGGTTTCTCTAATAATGTTATAATGTTCATGTAAATGCTCAGATGAACCTAACTGCAGAGCTGTTATCTAAATGGCCTGCTTTTATCACCACCTTTACTAACGGTACAGGTGATTTAATCAGATGAGCTTGTGCTGTGTGAGGCTGCATTCACCTCTTACTAGGTGCAACTTCTACTCAGCACTACAGGGTGAGGATCCATGAATGTGCATTTAACCAAGCGGTGGAGAGACATCACCACCCTGATGCAGCTGTGGCAGGGGAAGAGCACTTCGGCCCCCCGCGCTGGGCCTGCTCTCCTCCACCTGCAGCAATTCAGAGGAGCGGGTGGCTGGTGCCATCCCGACATCATCCAACCAAAGATGGTGCTGGAGCAGCCGCACACAGTTCCCTGCCGGCAGATGGTGGCAGTAACTTCCTGCAGAGGGGAAGGCCGTAAGTCGCGGGGCAGCAGCTTGGTGGGGAAGGAGCCACCCGATCTGCGCCCTCGACGCGAACAAACAGGCTGCAGTGCTGGGTGTAGCTGCACGGGCTGGCTGAACAGTGGGGACAACTTAGATAAAAATCAGCATGTTTACAATGGGAATAATAAAAGAAGAGATATGAGTAACTGTAATAAAGATGAAAGTGTTTGGCAGCTGTTTCTGTGGTCTCAACTTAGAGCTATTTTAAGATATTTGTTTGGCTATTATCATGTTTTGAATTGTTTTGCTCCACAAACAACTTTTCTGTAAAATGACCCTATTTTTAACAGTCTGTTTATAGAGAATAAGAGCTCCAGAAAAGCAACACCTCATTCACAGACTCATTTTGTAGTTAGAAAACAAAACAGAACGAGGCAGGCAACCCGCTTTAACTAAACTGGTAAGAACCCCCTCGCCTGCCCAAGAAACAAGCAGCTCCCCAGACACAGCTCTGCATTCTCCGAGCTGCACCAGAAGACTACCCAGGGTAACCGAAAACTAGCAATCATGTTAATCTAATTACAGATTCTCAGCCCAGCACTGCACCAGCAAGGCAATAAGAATCCTAAGTAGCAGATGCCTCCCCCACTTCATCAACTGATAAGTCAGAGTAAAAAACCCTAACCTACTACTTAGGCACTCTGAAACAAACTCGGATGAACTCTGATGAACGTATCATCACCTGTGCACCCCGCCTCGCGCTATGGAAGAAAATGCACTGCTGTCCTCACTCTTCGTACAGCCATTTCTTCATTTATATATTTCATTCACAGAGAGTTGCTAGAATGTAATGTAACAACAGCAAGAAAAAAAAAACACATAAAAGCAATTAACCTATACTGAAACCCTCTGTCCCTGTCCCAGACACACAACCAGAGCTGATCAGAAGAGAAGAATGGCAAAGGTTCGTCCTGCTCTTTTCTGTCTTCCCCTAATCTGTAAGATGAATGTTCGTGGTGAGACCTGAGCTCCCCAGAGATAACAAAAAAAAAAAAAAAAAAACTCCCAAGTGATGACCCATTCCTACCCCTAAGCTAGCAAGTCTTTTCATTGCCTTCAGGGCGCTTTGGGTCCTTCTTTGCTTGAATTGTGGTGAGAAGGAAAACTGTGTTTGGACAACATCTTGTTGTAGTTTTGTTCCCTACGATACACACCTTAAAAGAAGTATCTAAGGAGGGATGGATGGGGAGTCCCATCCTCAAGGCATAGTTAGGGCAACAGCACAAATAACTGCTACCACAAAACCACCATCCAAAAGGCAAACATTTCGTTCTGATACCTACTTAATCCAGCTGAAGCTTGAGAAGTGCAGACTCGTACAAATGGACAAGATTAAGTTTAAGAATCTGAAGTTGGGCAATATTACGATAAGCTGCAGCTAAAAGGTCTGGCAGTGCCTTGCCCATAACACGGGGGAAATTACCACCAACTTGAAGCATTGTGACTAAGCTGTGAGGCACAGAGCAGCTGCTGTGATGGGAGACCAGTCTTCTAGTCATGCAACTGTAAAAACAACAGTATGAGAAAGTGGTGGCTGTTTTCAAGTGAACACATGAGCTCAGAGCACCCTGCACCAATACCTGATCCGCTGTACTCGTTTCGAACGCAGCTGGTTGTATCATCTAAAAATGACTACTCTTTCCATATACAGTATGAAGTGCAGGAAGCCACAAAAGATGTTATCTGCAAGAGCATGTGCACTTGGGTGGTGTCTGCGCTGACGATTTAGGCAGTTTTCCCACGGTGGGGTTAAGCATCAGAGGAATAACCTTTAGCTAGTAGCACTGATTGGAGTGATGATGCAGGACAGACAAACGGTTTCTGATGACTTTTGCTCGATTACTTAGCTCTGCTGCAAGCAACTCGAGACAACACAGTGGCATATATGTTTGTGCCTCATTTAGTGTATTATTTTTGAACCAATGGTGAAGGAATTTCTGAAAACACATGTAATAGACCAAACAAGGCAACATGACCTTGCAGGCAAGACCCAACATCAATTCTAAAGAAATCATGATGATCAAAATGCAGATGCATAATAATGGTAGAAGTAACTGACTGAAAGGAACACCACTTACTAATCACAGGGAACATCTGTTTTGTGTTTTGGACCCAATTCTTTCGAACTTGTGCCTAATCAACTGTTACTGAAACAGCCTAGAGTCCAACACTGTGTGATGTAAGACATTGGGTAACGTGTTTAACTACTTCCTGCTTAAATGCAATACTCACCATTTTCAGAGAGATCTTTAGCAAAATGCAAACAAGATTTCCCAGGTCTACTGATTTCAAGAGAGCACGGCAGTATTTCACAAAGGGTGAATTAATCAAAACAACTAATTAAGGGTATGAGTATATTTTCACTGTCCAAAGAACAGCTTAGAAAAGTTCAAAAAGAATGAAGAAACCCCAAATTCAAATATCCATTAAGAGATCAATCAACCTTAGCCCTGATCTGCATTGACAGTTGCAAAAATATGCTGTATGTATCCAAACATTAGTATAAAGTAGGACTACAAGCATCTCTGCCTCGGTTTGCAAAACATCACTACAGGGAAAATTCAGGGTTATCAGTGGTTGAACTATGCATTTCTAGACCTTAGCATATTCGTATTCCTATATGTTTAACCTTCAGGTCAATCATCTGTCCTATAGAATTACTAAACCGCTTTTTAGAATTTGTTTGCTATGTGCTGCTGACATAATCTGAATTCTGCATTCACAGAGCTTCTTTGCTGGGGTACTCCAACTAAGCTCATTTTCTGTCATAATTTAACAACTTAACTTTTTAAACCTCCTTATTCCACTTGAAAGAATACACAGTTTAATGTATAGATTCGACATCCCTTATTTGCATAAATAGGTCAACAGATGAAACATTAATAGAATAAAATATTCCACTTGTAGAATAAATACTTCATTTTTGAAAATAGAGCAAAATAGAGAGGGAACAAAAAAAAGGTTTAGTAAAAATGAAATATCCCTTGTCCCTCTAAAAGCTCAGAGCAATGGTCTCCCTTAAGATACAAACTGATGGGGGGTGAAAACGCTTCTGGTCTCTGATGCAGAGATGTCCGAGCAGGAGCTCTCTCAGGCCCAAGAATATTTCTGCTTGTCAGAGGTTAAAAAGATTATTTATTGTTTCCTTCCTAAATCCAGCTCCACTGCCACCTGTTCAGAATTTACTATAAAGCTGTTAAACACGACGAGAACTTTGATGCTCGCTGTGAAAACAAGTTTCACTGTATCTGACCCGAGGAGCACTTACTACTGATCCAGAAGCAAAGGAATTTGATTTTTTCTCTCTCTCTCTTTTTTTCTTTTTTTCTTTTTTTTTAAGCACAGCTATCTTTTTACCTTTATAAGCTGTTTAAAAAAAATGTAAATAAAATAACTTGGCGGACAATGGCAGGCATTCATGCTGCAGAAAGACAGCCGCCACCCTTAGACATGAAATATCGCGGCACATTAAGTCATGAGACCCCGCTAATCAAGGCTGACAGGGCCCTGAATGTGATTGCCGCCGAGACGCAGCGATATCATGGGGCACTGAAGCATGCACAGCCTGCCAGACTGCCCCTGTTCATGTGACAATGGCTTTTCTTCCCCAAAGGGGCCTGCGAGTGACAAGAGTCCCCTTTGTCTCGGGATTCCTGCATTGGGAGCGCAAGAGAGGTTCATTCAAGCAGCCCCAGACACTCTTTGAAAGGCTGAAGTGTAACATAAGATGACCATGAAACACTAGCTTGCCTTCTGCCTAGCCCTCATTCTTCTCGGGCACAGCCTGGCCTATTCAGGGCCTCTTCACAGACTCGCCTCGCACTGTATTACCCCGGGGCCGCTGAATCCCCGCATTGTTCCCGTCTCACCACGGCCATCTTGCTGCCCACAAAGCCGCCGGGCTGACATCGAGGCAGCGCCCGCGGGAAGAGCCGGCAAAGGCGGCGGCGAGGGGGGCTCCGCGCGCCGCGGTTCGGCTGGCCCCGAGGGTGAGGGCGGCCAGCAGCGCCGGGTTCGCTGTGGGTGTCAGAGGGCTACCGGGCCCGTCCTGCACGCGGGCCTAGCTCGAGAGAGCAGCTGGATGCCGAAAAGGGAGTGAAGCTGCAGGTACTGCCGCTGAAACAACATGAGCTGATGTTTTAAGACGCTTGGTCTGGCTAGCCTTGTAAATTAAGAATGCACCTTTTACGGGACATGCGATGGCGGCTGTCTTGGAAGCTCCTTTGGAGCTGTACAAGGCCCCACATCACATTCCTCCAGCATCTGCAGTGAACCCTCATTTATTTATGGATAGAAGAAAGAAAAACAAAATACCAAATGCCTCCAACAACACTTGTATGTCATCTTTAACTGTTACTTTATCGTCTCATTCTGTGTCATGGGAGCAAGAGTGCCATCCTCTGGCCAGCTAACCATATCCACCAGCTCCGTCAGGTGTCTCCCTGAATATAGCGACTATTTTTGCTGCTAAGACAAAGTACTAAGGTATCTACCTAGACCCGCACCAAAAAAACATGGCACTGTCTTTACATCGATTTATCTTCCCAATATAAACCACTGAGCCCATGAAATGTCCACCCTATGATGAGGAGAGTCTGGTGCTACTTACAGGAGTGTATCAGCGTTCATGAACCTCAAACAGTGGCTTCGCAGAGCTGCAGAACAACCTGCAGTTCTGATTAGCAAACTGGTTCAGCTTTTGAATAGTTTTAGGGAAACAGGGAGGGCCAGATGTGCTTTAGAAGTAAACAGCCCGGAACCTATGGGACTTTCTAAAGACACCTTTCTCCTAAACCTTTTCGGGGGAAAGCAACCTTAACCCATGGAACAAGGCGGCAGACTTCTAAGATTCACACAGGATAATACTTTAAGAGAAACAAATTGCTTACCAAGCAATTTGAAAAAATATAGAAAATGGGACAAAAAACAAATGACATTAATGGTTTTTAAGATTTTTGCCATTGTGGGCAAGAAGCAAAAGAGCCAATAATATTACATTTGAATCTGGTTTATTGTCCCATCTGAAAGACAGTGAATCATAGGATGAATAGTCCACTGCAAGTGCTCAGCATCCCACTTCCAAGTTTTTTGGATTTAGTACCGATGGGAATAAAAGATTTCCTCCTACATAACTGTCATTTTTGAAGACAGTTCTGTTCACCCTCTGGTAATAACATAAGTACAAGAAAATTATGGCTAAGGGGTTTCACCATTTGAGGATCCCTGTACTTCACACTACAAATAATAAGTAAATGAATTTTGCTGTGGAAAGAACAAAAAAGCTTTATATTTTTTGGTGGAACTGTTTTTATTGTTAGACCTGCATTTCTAAAAGAAAATAATATTTGGGGAGCTGTGAATATAACAATCACATTTAAATATTGTCAAATACTACATTTTTTCTAATATTTTCAAACACTCATGCTCAAAGACTTCAGAGCTCTCCTGAGGGCTACTGTTTTGCTGAAGAATAAGAATAAAAACCTTTTAAAAAATAATTCCTAAATATTAGGTTCCTTTACAGAAAGTGACCCATCTCCCTTTGAGAAAGTGTTTTGTTGTTGTTTTGTGGAGTGTTTTGCTCATGAGAACAGTCCTAAGAATATCTAGACATCACAGTGATGACAGAGATCCTCAGAGTGTCCTCTGCCACACGGTAAAATACCAAATATAGGCTTTGGTGAACTCCCATCATTGTCAGTCAGCCAGACTCAAATGCACGAGCACCAACACACTCACCTTTTGGGCATGAGTCTCAAGTGGTAAGAGACTTCAGATCTCCTTGAACTGAGAAGCCCTCCTAGATAGCGTAATTGCTTGGGAGCAGAGAGATTTTTCCAACCCTTTCTTCTTGTAGGCAGATTGGAGTTTCCACAGCAGGTGGACTGCCTGCAGGACTGCCTAACAGGATTGCCTATAAAAATGCCCAGGAAAATAAAAAAGTGTGCAACCATCCTCCTAAATTCTCCAAATTAACCCATTACTTTCAAAGGTCCAGAAAAGGGTAGAAGAAGGATTCACTGCCATTCTGTACTCAGCCATCAGAAAAACTAAGGTTGAAGACAATCTACTCATGTACATCAGAAGACCATGCTAAGCTGCACCATTCACAGTGTGCAGCTGCTGTGATGAAATGGAATTTACATTGAAATGCATCCAAAAATGGACACAGACATTAACAGAGAACTGGAGAGCTGGGAAGGTAAATTTATTTGAAAGACATGACCCACCTCTTTGTAATCACCCTTGTGATAAAGATGACTGACGTGTCCAAGCAAATAGTTCCGGTCCGTTGTATGGAGTTGGTAAATGCTAATCAGAGGGTCAAGAAGATTAGTTGGGCACTGGGCTAGTATGTTGAATACACGGGCCTGCAGCTTCTTCAACTTCGTTCCAGACTTAAAAAAAAAAAAAAGAAAAGAAAAAAAAGAAAAAGAAAAAGAAAAAAAAAGTCAAGCACAGATTTAGTCAAGATGGCTACAATTCAATAGCAGTTGCAAATGCAGCTTGTTTAAACAGTAGAAGATGCCAATTCCTTGGGAAGGGATTCTCCAATTTCCCCATGGAGTCTGCATGCAGAAATCAAAACAATATGATGCACATTTTTTCACAGCATCCAATTTGAAAACATTTGAATGTTTGCGGGATAATTCTGGAAAAGGCATATGGCCTTGTACAAAAGGCAAATATGAAACTGGAGAAGTGCCTTCTTTTACTAACACAGCTATTTAAAAATTCTCTCCTCTAGCTCCCCACTGAAAAGTCTTTGAATCCACCAACTCCCCTCATCATTGATTTTCTCTTATCATGTGCAACAAGTCCATTGCCATCCCCTGGTTTGTTCCTGGGTGCAAGAGGTCAAAAAAGCAGAAATGTCACAGAAATGCAGAAATGCACTTGCAGAAATGCAAGTATTCAGCACTGTGCTCCTGCATGATGAGTCCCTTAGGAATTTCACAGCAATATCACAGACATTGTACTGGAAGTGATCCCTGAAAAAAATTGATAAAGGCCAACTTCTAAAAAGAGTCGTTTGGAAAAGTGGAAAACGAAACAACACAAATTCAGAAGTATCTAATGGATCAGAAGTAAAAAGCACAAAAAAGGGGAAAATCTCAAGAAGCCAGAATATAAAAGGGCATGGGGAATGGTAAACATTAGGGCAGACAATCTGATGACCCAGTGCTACAAAGCCAATCATTCAGCTGCTGAAAAGTCATACTGTTACTCTTTTCTGCATTTTGAAAGATAAAAGCTCTCCACCATATGTCAAGAATTAAGGAATTGTACAGTAACTGGCTTCTATTTGCAGAACTGGAAGAATATGCAGAGTAGATCATTGCAATTGGTTTTATGCTGACGGCAGCACTGTAAGCTCCAGTGGGAAAGTCCAGCCAAAGACTGAAATATCCGTGCTCAAAGTGCTTTGATCTGGAAAGATGGAAATCCCAGCTTGGGGGGAGAAACAGAAAGGTACTGCGGCATCACAGCCTTGAATGACATGTATTTTCAGGCCACCATCACCAGATGACAGCACCACAGTAAGAATTTCACTACGAAGTCATATCGTGTTCAGTACAAGGCTACAGAAAAGACCCTGGACTATGGAATGAAGTGAACCTAGGTGCACTTTAGGGACATGAAAATCAATTGCCCTTTCTTTTCTCCACGGTCTCCCTTGCTCTCTTTTTCTAACCTGTTGAACAGCAGGATGCTCTTTTATCCAAAGCTGCAACTCGCTGCTGATGTAATACCCCAGGGAATGCCCTTTCCCCTTCCAGTCACTGCTGGTCTCCAGCATGTCCAGGAGCGCTGCCAATGGGTCCTCCAGCGCTGCAAAGCCCCGCCTGATTTCTTCCTTGAGCTGATGAGACACAAAAACACATTGTCATGTACAAAAAAAGACTAGTGAATCCTCCCTTCCCCCAGCTGAACACAAAGCTTTATTTTTTTTAATTTAATCTATTCAGAGAGGTAACTGTTGCTATTCAGCCACCATCCGCGCCTCCAGTGACTTTTTATGTCATTACAGATTCCTTCATGGCTCACTGCACCTCAAACCCAATGGGAAAAGCGGCAATTGTCCACACTAATTATCCCATAAAGACAGAGAAGTTGTTCTGTGGGGCACACAAAGGCGCTCAGGATTTGGGGGAGGGGGCTAGAAAGCAGCAGTGAGCTGGAGAAAGGGGTGTTATTAGGAAAATGGCAATAAAGGTAGATGACAGAGCTCAGAACCTACCTACCTCCCAGCAGACCTAAGTAAATTAAACTGCCTCCCCATTCTTATGCCATCAACTTTCATATTTGACCTTAAACCCACTCGAGCTTCAAGAGCATGGATGCTCTTGAGCTTCACCATAATAGAATATCTGAGAGTAGTGAAATAATTCAGAGTTTGCATATAAGAATAAATAGAATGAAGCATCAGAGTTCAACAGGCAAGCTGCCATACTGTAAATCTGATCTCTTTTCCTCCAAACGTAGCTGGGCAAGGTAGCTGCTGTAGACCACTTGCTGCCAGCTGTGTGCTAGACCCTGCACACCTCGGCAAAAGCGTCAGGCACTGCTAAGAGGTTGGGAACATGGGAAAACTCCAGCGCCATAAATCTTAGGAATCCCAGGGTGATGTGTTTAGAAATGTGAAGGAATTGGACACTCACTTTGTGAATGTTAATAGGCTACTTACTACCCATCTGGTAGAAGTGATAAATTAGCAGGATTGAGCAATATCTTTATAATGTTTACATTAGAAGTAGTTTCCAAGGAGCTCACAGGGTTGGCAGGGTGAGCAAGTGGCATCCTTCAGTACCCACACAGGACCTTTCACCACACGGGACACGTACTGGCGTGGAGCAAAGCAAAAGCAGAGAGAGAAAACAAGAAATCACCACGAGCAGCTGCTCTCTTTCTTTCCTGGCTAAAAAAGAAAAATCCAAAAGATGCTCATTACTGCTTGCAGCCAGCACTTACAATTTACTGTATAGGATGGTCCCAGTTGCAGCTTCCAATGGAAACAACATACGGTTTGAAGACAGACATGGAAGACAAAGGAAAAAGCTACAGAAAGTTTGCCAACGATTTTTTTTTCTCTTATTCATCCGAAATATTTACTGGAAGATGGTTATTTTCCATAGTCTCTTTCATGTTGAGAAAAAAACCACAAAATGTATCGCTTATGACAGAGACTGCTTCTTTCTCACTAAATTATCAAATGTAGCATGAAAAAGCTGATGACTAACAAAGATGTGACTTCAGATAACAGCTTTCTCCCTCTTAAGTGTTTTTCCCTGTGGCAAGAAATCCTGATGTTAAACATAGGACTCCAAGTGCACAGCAAGATTCAGCAGAAGGAACAGGCAAGCTCTCCTCCAACCACAAATATCCAACATAACAGCCAAAGGAAAACAAAGCAACTGGCCAAGTAAATCGCACTGTGTATAAGTGGCCTCCTCCTTTCTTTTTTCCCCCCAAAGCTCCACTTCGGCACATTTGGGCCGAACGAGAGCTCTCACCGCACAGCTCGTCTCCTCCTTCAGCTGGAAGCCGAGCTGGGCTTTGGCAGGATGGCCTGCAGAGGACAAGCCTTGGGAGAGGACGAGCCTGCTTTCAGGCACGCGCAGCATCTCCAAACACTTACAGCACTGGCAAGAGCAACAACAACATATCTAGAATGAGTTTTGATTTAGATTTTTTAAGCGGGGAGAAAGTTTCTTTGAAACTTCTCAGCAATTCAAGGTCTTTGGCTAATGGCATGTGCTACTCTAAAAGAAGCATCTGCTTGAGATATCTAAATTGGAGAAATCAGAGAGAAAACAGCATTGTGTTGCCTGGCTCATCCTTCCACCAGGGAAGGATTCCTCTCCAACATGTAACTGGCATTTCAGTTGATTCCCATCGTGGGGCTTACATGCTCCCAGGGGGTTTTCCAAAGCCTAACAGATCATGGGAGTAGGAACATTTTGCTGATTCTCAAACTTCTCACTCCTTCATGCAGTTTTGGCTCTTTACTTCTAGTTACAAAGTTCAGATGTCTGTTATTCCAAAACTGTCTTTGCTACAAAAAAAAAAAAGGTCAATTCTTAAAATCATGCTCCAGAATGAAGGTCCTGCCCTAGATAGGAGCCCTCCTTCTGCTCTTGTTCACTGCTTTGAGACAAAAGGGTGCCAAACAACAGAAACCGATTCACAGCCACACAAGGGAAGAAGGAGAAGGTCACTGCTGTTAAACGGCGATGGAGCAAGACCAGTCTTTAAGTCAACTTCCTTCAACTCCCATCACTAGAAAGCCAGACAGTGACTTACTTAGGACACCTTGAATTAACTTCAGAGGAGAAGGGCAGCAGGTTCCCCTGCTTCAGTCCTCAAAAGTGGCTGCAATTGCTATGGGTGCATTGCATGCTGGAAAGAAGGCAATGCCCTGAACACAGAGCAGCTCACCTCAGGGCTAGCTTGGGGGCATGTGTCAAACCTGGGGGGACACCCACACTGTGCTCCCCACCTTAGAGCCATCTGGTGCCACTGCATCCCCCCTTGTCTCTCTAAAAAGACTTTCCGGTGGTCCAGAAATGCATCTCCCACTTTCTGAAGCATGGGTTTGCTCGCACATGCAGCCACGCAGTGCAGTCTAAAGAGGGGCCCAACGAGGCCAAAGCTGTCCCACCATGGATGCAGTGAGCACAGTGAACGTGTCCTCCTCAGAGCGTCCAGGGGCTCCTGCCAGCCCCGTGAAAGCATCACATTTCACCGGGACGACAAACCCAAAGCAAACAAACTGAATAAGCTAAGCTGCAACTCTGACTCATGGGGATCCTCCAGGTTTTCAACCCGCAGCAAAAAAACAGAGATTCTGATGATTGCTCTTCCCTACTGTTGGTTTTGTGGAGCTAACTGGCCTCAAGACCTAACAAATAATGTTTTTTCGTCCAACTCTAAACTTGAGAGAAAGCCCAAGGCTTCACTGTTGCTGAGCTCAAGTCTATGTTAGAAACTGCCCATTCGGAAAGAGATCTCTCATGTTGTGCTTCCAGTTGCCTGATTATTTGGGCTGGGAACCACAGACTATCAGTAACGGAAAATCTAAATGTGCCAGACAGGGACTCTGGGGAACGTCTCGGACACCTGGGATGGTGCACGGACACCCCGGGACTCAGCCTCCCCAGGTGCTTCACCCAGCGCTTTGGGTAAAGTCAATGTGGCTGAGGCGGGAGCTGCAGTTCTTGGGTCTTCAAAAAAAAAAAATAAAATAAAATAAAAAATCAGCTATTAACCAACCTGTGCAAACCAAAGTTAAACTTGAGCAACTCGACATCAAGGCAATACGTTCGGTGTTTTTGTTAGTTTTCAGACGCCCAAATCTAGGTTAAGTATATTTTGCTCCCTATGAGAAATTCTGCACACAGAGCCCACAGGGGCCTGTATAAAAATATCACACAAATCACAGCAAGGGAGCGTGAACTGCTTTCACTGCTCCAAAAGACAAACCCAACTCAAACAGAAAAAGAGAAAGTAAAATGTCATCAGCACAAAGGTCTTGTTATCAATCCACTTGGCAAAGACTGCATTTCTATTGACTTCAACTCTCTCCTTTTTAGCTACTAGAAATACTCCTCGCCCCAAAGATATTCTGCTTAATGGATAAAAATGTTCTTCAAAGAAAATAAAAGCAACTTTGATTTATCTTCCCCTCCTTGCAACTCAGCCCCTGTGAGCTCCAGCTCTTTTATACGAGCCCCTTCACGTCACACAGAGCTACCTTTTCTTCGCTGCGAGGCGAAGGGCCTTCCCCCGTGCGCTGGCACTGAAAGCAGCGGTGAAGAATTGCAGCCCTGACCCCGGGCCCAGCGCCAGGACATGCTCTGCATGCACTTTGCGCGGCAGCGCCGAGGGGAGGTGCGAGCGCCGGCCTTACCTCCTTCATCTCTTTCTTTGTCCAGAGAAGCTGAAGGGTTTTCAACAGTAGCAGCGGGTCCTGGCCTGGAGGAAAGGGGAAGAGAGAGAGAAGGGGAGAAAAAACAAAACAAAAACCAGATTTATTGGCTCGGTCCTGGCAGCCTGGACACACTGGCGCATTGTTTGGCTGAAGAGAATTCGGCTGCTCCGGGGTGCTGTGTTTGAAACCATCGTCCTTCCAGCTGCCAGTCAGGATTAGAGTGCTGAAATCCCTCACTCCGAAGCCGGAGCATCCCCCACGCAGAGCTTTAACCAAGCGCCCGCGGGCGCAGATCCTGCACGCTGGACTGGGGTTCGTGCTGCTGCCGTTCAAACACACTCACACCCTCTCTCCCCTTTTTAACACAAACCAAAACGGTCCTGGAAAACTCAACTTCTTGCACAGCTTAGAAAGGACTATCAATATCCACCATTTTTTAAAAGAAACAATTCCAACGTGTCAATCTTGTTCCAAACCTGCGGCTGGAAGCCGGGAGCAGGCAGATTCGCAGAGCCCTGGCTGTCAGGTCGGGAGCCCTGGTCGCATATGTGAAAGGAAAGACTAGAGGTTGCCGTGATTAGAGTCAAGCATAAAAAATAGCAACAACAAAATATTTCAGGATGGTTATTTGGAATTTATTCTTTCTTTTGCCTGCTTAATTGAAATCTTACACACTGCTATTTTGTATCTGCTATTATTCCCCAAGCCAATTCACCAAAAGAGTATTTCTGAAACAAATGTCTCGATATATTATATTTTTAAAAGCAGTAAGGTTGTTACTTATCTGGCTCTACTTAATTCATAATCATTTACTTAAAATTTCTTAAGATATTTTGAGTGGAAATCTGTGGCATGAACAGTTTGAACATGAAGACTGAGTTAAAAAAAAAATCTGGATGAATCCTCGAAAAAGAGCCTTCCTGCATTCTCTGCACCTCCTGTTACATCTACATAAAGCCAAAAGAAATGTGTTAACCAGAAAGAGAAACTGCTTCTGAATTGCCTTTGGCCCTCTGCACTTCCTAAGCAGGTGATTTCTCATGTATTACTCTATCTCACTTCAGAACGGGCTGTTCTCAGCTAGCGGATGAGAGGCTCCCAGCTAGAGGCTCCCCTTGGAAAGATGAAATTCTCTTTTTACAAGAAAATAATAATAATAATAATAATTTAAAAAAGCAGATCCCCATTCCCCACAAAATTAACAACAACCAGTCAAATTCAGCCTGTGTGCGTGCGTGTGTGTGCGTGTGCATACATAATCTTGGCCTGACTCCCAAATAAATTTATACACACGCAGGGAAGAAAAAGCAGCAGAATGCAACCCAGCATGTAACTAAATACACTGCACGTTGGCACTGTAATTCATGCAGCAAACAGCCTGGAAGCCAGGAAATGAGAGCTGCTAGGAAAGCAGCGTTTCAACTCAAGATACAGCCAATAATTCAACTTCTGGAGTTTTTTTCAACCTTGCAGCAACAACACAAGACGCTTGCTTAGGTGATATTTTTCCTATCGAACTGAAAAATAATCTCACCGTTATTTCAATATACAGAAGCCCAGAAACTGGCTCTCCAGTTCATTTTACATGGCTCAATGTGCTGTGAGCATGGTCCTGTGCAAGCACAGGAAGATATAAAACACCTTCCTTTCCTCCTTGCCCCCCAAAATCAGGTAACTGAGGGGTGGGTAAAAGACAGCCAAGATGGAACATGATGAGGCAGCATCCTCTGGGAGGGCCTGAAGAAAAGGCAACTTGCTTTGCTCTCTTCAATCTATGTCGAAGAGGAAACAAAGCCCTTAATTCTCCGCAACAAGGACAAAATGAAGAGAAAATGCTGAAGTAGTGACTGTTTCACATTAGTGTCAGCAGCAGTTTCAGCCCCTTCTTCATCTTGCAAAGCCTAAGCCTTGAAATGCGGTCAACAGCTTAAACTAAAATACCCGGTAGCTAGAGTAGCTACTCTTAGGGCAAGACATAAATGAGAGTACAAAGCAACATTATTCTTTTGCTTTGCCCTACCCCAATGGAAAAGCCTGCTGAAGTTTGCAGGGGTCTCAAGCTAGTTTATCTAGCTACTTTCCACCTAAAAAAAAAAAAAAAAAAAAAATGTGAAGTTTGACCTCTCTTTGTCTACTAAGAGAAACAAGAATTCATCTGTTCTTCCTCAGCCAGAACCACTTTGGACAACTGGTCTCTCCTTGGGCTTCCTGCCACCCCTAAGAAATAAGTTACTGTTTGCAGCAGGAAAACTGCACTCACAACTAGAGTTCCCAGTATCGGCTGGGAGCCTGCTCACCCACACCAGAGCCAGAATCAAGAAGTGGCAGGAACCTAATGCCAGGATGCCCAAGGAGAAGGGACAAGACCTTCCAAGGACTTTCCAAGCCTTCCAGAAGGAATCCTACATTCAGCAGACAATTGCTCAACGTCAGAGGAAGACGGGAAGAAATGCAAGAGATGAAAGCACAAAGCAAAGAGTCTGCAAACCAAGCAGTCCAAACTGAAGCACAACTTCATCTAGGCTCAAATCAGAAGACAGGTTCTATATAACAGAATGAGAAGGTCCTGGAACAGTCTCCAGTCACAGCAGTAAGAGTAAGAAACAGCAATCACTTGCTGCTGCACGTCCTGAAGGGCTACAGAATACGTGCAGACGTGAAAGCCAGAAAAATTCTTTCTCATTCCACATGTAAAGAACAGGCAGAACCTGTATTTTAAAGAAGAATCAAATTCTGTGGCTCTCCCATGAGAGAGATACCCAACTATTACCAAAAGGGTCATTCAAAGTCTGCCTGACCTGAACAAACAAAACAAGCGTGAGGTCATAGGAAGTAGAGCAAAAGTCCAGCGTGGCAGATGCCATCCCTCCGCTCTCGGCTATGCATCCCTGAAGAGCAGCAGAATCATGGGCAGCTCCAAGCCTGAAAGCCCAAGAAGCCTCAGCTCCCAGACCAAGCTCAAGGAGAACGTGCTGAGTCTCATACTGATCTGTCCCTTCCCTCACAGATCCAAAAGGAGGAGGCTGCAGACCATAAAAGCTTCTCCAAAATATGATTATAGCACCCAGACATCTCAGAGAGAGACATCTCTGCACTCACTCTGCAAAGGCAAGGACTTTCTCCAAATCTGTTCTTGTTCTAAAAATTTTGACAGTAACATGTTTCTTTCCACATTTTTAAGTACGAAAGTAAATTTTCCCCATCCTGAATCTGGCAACAAAAGTGGGGAAGATGGTAAATGAAATCTTTTCCAGTTTACAATATCTGTGGTTACATTTCAAAACCATATAAACCACAAGACTTATATTTTTGAGTTAGAAAAGCGTCTTTGAGGAAAGCCATAAACTTTGCCTTGTTCGTTCTTGCTCTTCCTTTGTACATGGAGCACTCAAAACCTACGTGCTGTGATCACAATAAAAGCAGGGAAGTAAAAGGCTGGTGAGGTAAAGCACTGGTCTGGATACTGCATCCTTGCAAAATCCTCCTGCATGATTCATCCATGCTGCTGGAATCCTCTGGCAGGAGAAAGTCACTGACTGGGGCCACTCACGTGTCTCGCACAGGGAACACGAGACATCCAACCCCCAAGGAGTTTACCAATAAAAGAAAAAAAATCTCTCAACACTTTCTGTTTGTGTCAAAAGCCATTGAACGTTCCATAGCCTGAGACCTGGAAGAATTATGGTCAACTAATTTAAAGTTACAGCAGTGAAAACAGAAGATGGTGCGAGTGCAATACAGCACCACATCAACTGGTGGTTGTCAAGTACACTTGAAATTCAAGGATGGAAAAGGTCAAGAATGAAAATGAAAAGTCTTCTTTAGGCAAAGACAGCTTATACCTCTGCCTTGCACATTAACAGGATTAGTGAAATATTTAACCTAATATATAAAGAGAAATAAGCAATAGGTACAAGCCACCCAGGAATGAATCATGGCATTTTAACTATTTTTTTTAAACTGTTCTCTGTGAAAATTGCTGTTAAACTGAATGAGCATTTAAGCTTGTTTATTCGTTTCTGAAAGGAACATAAGGCTCCCTGTCATTTTCAACATCACCACATCCACGGCGCCTTTGCACTTAAGAACTAAAATATACAGGCAACCTACTGCAGGCCAAGCAGCTCGAGCTCACCCTGACGGAGCAGGGGTTGCACTGGAGGATCTTCAGAGGTCCCTGGGAACCTCAACTAATCTGTGATTTGTGCTTTGCTATAAATATACCTGAAGGTGGCAGGGAGAAGAGCTACTCAGCAGCCAAACTCCTGTTCCAAGCACAGACGGCTCCACCCCGAGCTCTGCCTTTTCAAATGCCCTCATTCCATCTGAAACCCACCAAGCAGGACACCGGGCGGATCGAAGATTAAGCAGAGACTTTCCGTAGGATTCAGATACCTTAAACACTACAACCTACAACCCTACAATAAATGCATGTAATACAAGTAAAATTACATTAAAATACAGAAGAACAATCTCAGTATACACAGGAATTGCACTGCACAGTATGCATCATGAAACTCTGGCTTGTAATTTTACAAAAAAACTCAGTAAGAGGAAGTGGATTGATTCAGGATAAAAAAGAAATGCTATATTCACTGCTATGATATTTTAAAATAAGCAGCAAGACTTCAGAAAATGTATATATCAGTATACAGGTATTAGACAGTAGAGCATGGGAGTGCCTTTTACCTTCTGCTTTGTAGGAAGCTTTTTTTACAATCTCTTTTCATTTGGATTTATTCCAGAGCGTGGGGGAAGATAACTAACATGCTGAATAAGGAGAGGTGTGAATAAAGATACCATACGCATACTGGAATTCATAATCACCTGTCAAAACAGATCTGAGATGGATTCCTCACTTTTTTGCAGGTAAGATGATGGTGCCACAGAAGTGGGCAGACCTGGACAGAGCTCGGTTTCCTGATAGCAAGCAGAGCAGGACTTGAAAGCTACAACACCAAGGACAGGGTTTCTCATTATTACGGTTCCATCTCCTGTTACTTATCCAATTCTGCACTCCCTATTCAGAACATGTGTTCTAAAT